AAACTTCCCCCCCCCCCCCCGGCCGTTTTGCCGATAAGGTGCCCGATATCGAGGAGCTTGTGTCGCTGGCTAAGAAGCACGAGTTTTGCCCGTATTACCTTGGGAGGGGGCACGCACCGAGAGCGGAGCTGGTGTTGATGCCGTACAACTACCTTCTCGATCCGGGAACACGACGAGGCATAAAGGTGCTCTCTGCTTGCAGCTGCTGTCGTCGTTGATTGGTGGTGGTGGTTGTAGTTTTTCGTAGTCGAGGTAAGTTTTGTGTGGATAGTCAGGTTTTTTGTGTCGACAATCTTGCGTTTTGTACAACAGAAACTACCGTTTTATTGACTCGACTCTGAACGGGGTTCCAGGCGAGATCTTTGTAAGCGTGGTTTCAGGAACCTGGCGAATGCGTGTGGCTGGTGACGGTTGTCATGGTAGTAGTAGTGATTTGTTGTCGCTGTCGGTCTGCTTGTTTGGCGCTGCTGTTGTTGGTTGTGCGGTTGTAGCTTTTGATGCTGTGTTATCGTCGTGTTCGTTCTTGTCGCCATCGTTGTCGTTGCGATTTTCGGCGTCCTCGGGGTGTTAACACCGTTTGTAATCGGCAAATGTGTTTTTTCGTGGGTTTTTCTGGATGCCCTGTGCGCTCTCTCTCGGTCCCACTCACGGGGATACGGATCGTCTGCCTCTTCTGTCTGCCTGTCTCTCTGTCTGCCTGCCTCTCTGTCTGTCTGTCTGTCTGTCTGTCTCTTTGCCTCTGCTGTCTCTCTGTCTCTCTGTCTCTCTGTCTGCCTGCTTGCTCATCGCCCTTAGATCAACTGGAGCAACGCGGTGGTCATATTCGACGAGGCTCATAACCTGGAGAGCGTCGCGAGCGATGCCTCCAGCTTCGAGCTGACCAGCGCGCAGATCGCGGGCGCTCAGGAGGAAGCTCTGAGGTGCCACAACCTATGCACCGAGGGGGGCGTGGATGAGGTGGGACGGGACGGGGTGGCCCGGGTACTACCGCACAACAAAAGCGCCTTCGCGGTTGATGACCGCGGAACAGGTTCCTATGTACCTCGCAAGAGCTTTTTCATGGATGGTGTTTTCCGTCGGTGTTTACCTACCGGGCACATTCTATGGTTTGAAGTTTGTGTGTTTCTTTCTCATACAGTAGCACCTCGTGTCACGTTGTCCCGCACATTGCGCCCGAAACTATACTTGGGAATGCGAGATATTTGGCGTTGATATTCGTGTGAACAGAACAATCATTCAGTTTGCCGTTTTGATGGTTTCCGAGGAAAGAGAGGAACCCCTTCATCAATCTTTCTGGCGTTAATCTCTCTCAAGATAAGCACGCGGACAGGGAGGAATTGGACAAGACAAGCAGCAAGTCTTGTGTTGCCCGGCTGAGGGAGTGACCGCCGCCTACCACAACGTGATAGCGAAGAGACACACACACGAACGTCCTGCTAGAAACGCAGGCTGAAGCATATCTTCTTGTACACACTACAACACTCACCACTTTGACTGTAGTAGACCGCACCAAAGAGTTTTATCTGTGAAATGGAAAGCACGTATTATTCCGTATCCTCTGTAAATCGCAAGGCGCATCTTATAGCGGACTGTTTACTTCGTCATGTTGCCATTTTTCGTCGCTGCTGCTTCGGTCCTTTTATACAAGGCACATCTAATCTTATTAGAAGATGATGATCGTTTTCTTCGTCACGACGTCATTTTACCTCGCTGCTGCGATGATTTTCCGCCCCGGGGTTCCGTGGGGATGACCTCAGGAAGGAGGAGGGGGGGCGACGCAGGCGGACAACGCTCTCCTCGTGAAGCAGGCGCTGCACCTGCTCGAGGACGCGATGGAAGGCGTAAAACTCCCTGCCAGCGGCAAGGGCTTCACGCAGAAGGGGGAGTACGTCTACGCTCTCTTCGAGCACGCTGGGATAACGTTCGACACGGCTCAGGCAAGGTTTGGGTGTGGATGCCGTAGTAGGTGGAAAGATGGCACCGGGTGCGATCGTTGTACAAAATGTTTTCTCCTCGTTTCTTAATTCTAGCGCACCCCGGTGCGGTGTCTCCGACCTCCCCGGTGCGATCTCTCCGACCCTGGTGCGGAAGCGCAATAGTACCATTTCGACTAGCTTTTTCATGGCACCCAGGTGCGATCTCTTCGACCGCTGCCGTGTTGCGTGGCAAGGCTTAGGTAACACTTGCTGCACACAAATCTCCGTTCCAGGGCTCTGGCCGTAGTTTCCTCCCCTCCTCAAGGAGAACAAGGAGAACAAGGAGAACAAGGAGAACCATCACCAAGCTTTGCCGTATCTCGGGCTGCGCGCTCGCTCAAAACGTTGTGCGCACGAAAATAAAGCAGGCGTGGCTGGGCAAGCTGCAGGACATGTCGGACACCCTCCAGGAGAACGCCCTGTACGGACAGGCCAACGCCCTCAAGGTGGACGTGGTCTCCAGATCCATCAAGGTGTGACGGTGACCTAACCGAAAAAGGGGCCGCCTTCCCGAGAATTTTGTTATTTATTATTTGTCTATGAGATAGAGACGGGGGGGATTCCTATCCCTATCCCTAACCCTAACCCCAACCTTAACCCTACCCCTACCCCGTACCCCATACTAAAACCAATATAAATATCATCGCGAAGGCTGGCTACTGAACAAGGGGGTTAGAGGGGGTATGCATACAATACTCAATCAAGTAAATGCATGCCCTTGTCTTTAATTTAGACCATTTTACCTCGCATGCCGGGACGGAGCGAAATGCCGGGGTTTTGTTACGGCGTTGGGGAGGGGTAAGGGATACGACAGGCAAACCCTCCCTCAAGATAACCGCCGTCGCCGAGAACGTCCACGTGTGTATCGTGTATGAGGGATCATGGAGGTGTTCTGGGAAGTATTAGCAGGCCCGTTGGGTTTTGCGACAGAGCCGCAGGCAGCTAACTAGAGCAGACGGAATTGAGGGCCGGGGGTGACGAAATTGACAACGCGGCGCGTTCGGGCTTGCAGAGCGCGCATGTACGGCAGCAGCAGTGGGAGCAAAGAAGATGCCAGTGCTTTTCATGGGCGACACGACATGCCCACACATGGAACACGAGCTCTATGCCCACGAGATGTGGCAGCGCGTTTTGTTGTACCAGTAGAGTTAACGCTGGCGTCTCTCTGAACACGCACACGCCTTCTGCGTTTAGGGGTTGCGTCTGGGGTTAACTCCTCCCCTTCTGTCTACTTGAAACAGCTCCTTGTCCCCCGGTCCCTTTCAACCTCCCATCGGTACGCTGTTGTCCTTGCCCCTCCCAAGCCCCGAAACGGTTGCTCTCCTTTCCAACCCCCCTCCCCCCCGACACCTTGCCTTGTTCAGCACGAGCCTGATCGGCGAAAAATCGAAATCCCTAATTCCTGCTCCGATTTCTACAAGACTACATACACGGTTTATGGCCATGAGCACCCCCCGTCCCCCCCCCCCGTCCCGCATCTCTTTCCTTTTTTTCGTTCTCTAAAATCCCTCACTTGGTACCGACTGCGTACCACCCGTCAATTTTTTTTTTACAAGGTGGCGTTTCGAGGGGGAAACGCCTCTCGCGAAGAGTGCCTGGATTTCGCCCAGATGTACCGCTCGCACATAGCCTCCGCGGAGAGCGTGTCTCCCCTCGATGGTCGCGGCAGCGGCAAGGGGGGTAAGGGGGGGGTCGGTGTTGGGGGCGGGGGGGGGGGTGCGTGTCTTTTTGTTGTGGGCTCGTCTATTGTTTGCTTCCCCACATGGATGACACGGCCTCTTCTGATCAGAAGCTG